GAGAATCTGTGCACGGCAATAGCAGCCCGATAATAACAATATTATTAGAGCCTGGAACCAATATATTATAGACACATTAAAAAAAAAAACAAACAACAACAACAAAACAACCAAACCAACCAAAAAAAAAACAACAAAACAACAAACAACCAAAAACCAAACCAAAACCAAAACCCACCATGTCGGTTGCCTTTGCTTCTGCTCGCCCAAGAGGCAAAGGGGAGGTCACCCAGCAAACTATCCAGAAGGTAAAAAAGCATGCTTTTATACAGACAATTTTAGACATGTATTCCCTCCATGCTCCTGTAGCCGAGGAAGGAGGGTTATTTTCTAGGGCGATCAGGGAAACTCGTGAATTGGCGAGGGCTGCAAAGATGGACAGCTGGAGAGAGGTGGGGGAAGGAGGAGGAGGAGGAGGTGGAACAAAGCAAAGGTGTTCAGATCACTGCAAAGAGAGAGCGAGAGAGGGACTTGGGGAGTGAAATGGGGATGGCACGTTATCCGCTGCTCGCAAAGGGGAGAAGGCTGCCAGTAATACGTGGGGGAATTGCGATACAATCTGCAAATATATGATTAATTTCTGATGGTGTGTCGGCTGCTGCCCTCCCTCCAGAAAAACAAACAACCACGAACCGTCAAAAATGAATTAAAATAGCGAGTTTGCAAGGGTTTTCTTTTGTATTTGGATGCAGAATTTTAGTCTCTCCGAAGATAGAGGGAGCACCGATCACTGATATTTTCCATATACTGTTATTATTGTGTGTATTATTAATATTATTATTTGTGATGTGTTTATTGTTGTTTACTGTCAAACAAAGGTTTTGAAGGGTTTTCTCTGGAGGGGAGATCTCCACATGGGTCTCATGTCGAGGCCAAAGCAGAGGGTTCCTAGTTGGGAAGTTATTGTTTCTGATGTGGCAGGATTGACAGCAGGGACCGTGCACACATGCCTGACACCCTGTCGTCCTGCGAAGGCAACGGGCAGTGAGGAGGAGGAGGCTGGAAATGCCCGTGCAGAAGATGCATGTTTTTGCTTTGGCTGCTATTTGTAATTTTTACTTTGCTGTATCTTTTGTGTGTTCCCCACCTCACAGGTGTTTTGCTCATGCAGAGGTGCAGGGTGGTGGACACACCGGGTGTGCGTTCCACACGGTCCATTCCAAACAGGGACCAGGGAAGAAGGGACATTGCTTACCCCATCATCCCTGGGGTTTGCAAACAAACCATGATCTGGTGCCAATTTCCGAATTCTTCTGGGGGAAAAAAACCCTCAGTGGAAGATTGTGACAGAACAGAGATTAAGACAGAACAAATTGTCAAAAGGGAGACTGAAGAGATGACTGGAATCTCAGGAGACTCTTCGGAAAGTCATCCCATTTTGTGTAGCTCTTGTAGCACCTGTAGTATTGTGAACCAATTCATTTCTAATGTAAAATCCACTAAATAAGTGGATATTTTTTTCTCTAACCTGGTTTGATTTGGGTTAGGACAAAATTTAATAACTGAGACAGTTTATAGCTAAAACCATGGCTGTGTCCACAGACAAAGGGCAGCCAAAGTATTCGGTTTGATTTTCAAACCCTTTTCTTTTTGCATATTCATAAACTTTATGGAAGCTTCAAAATGCTATTTCTTTACCAGTAATTTATAAAAAAAACATTTCCCACCTCAGGTGCATTTGCTGGCCTGTTTCTTCAGATCTGTTCATCAACGCTGGGCTGTTGGTGGTGTTTTGCTCTTGGGTGGTGATGCTGAGGAAGAGACTTGCAGGCACAGGGGCTGGGTGAGCTGCAAAGTCAAGTGTAGAAATGGGACAGTGGGAGAAGAAGTAGATGCTGGGCTAGGAACCCAAAAAGTCCTCAATGAAGTGAGCTTTTTCAAACACACGCCAATTCCACTGGAAAACAAGATTATTCTGATTTGTGTTCATAATATAGAAGCAGCTTATTTTTATTTCTTACCTTAATTTTGAGAAGTTATTCAAAGTACCAACTATTTCTAAAATAGTTTTAACACAGAGGAAACAAGAACTTTTGACAAGACAGCCGTGATGGTGATGCTTTAAAATAGTGGATCAAATAGCATTTCCAGGACAGTAGATTTCAGTTTCTCCTGTGTAATGGAGATCAGAACTCAGTTCTTTTTTCCTAGTGAGTTAAGAAAAGAGCTATTCCTGGTTCCTTTTTCAGTAAGCAAAACATTCTCTAGCTATTTGTAGAAGATATCTGTAATATTGCTTGGACTCTTGCTGTTGAATACGTGTCTTAACTGCATGCAAAAATATTGTCAGTGGAAACTGAAAAGGATGGGTTTATATTCTTTGCTAATTCTATGTACAGAATTTCCACTGATGCAGGTGAAAATTCTGTGTGACAATGAGTAAAGAGCGTGAGACAAAGAGCTGCACTGTGAATCAGGCAGGAGTATTTTCTCTTAAAATGATGTGCTGCACCTGGGTTGCCATGTGAGCAGAGAGATGCAGGAGGAACATGGATTCTTGACTGGCAGAGTTGTGCCTTTCCCTGTCAGCCCCAGGAGCACTGCCTGCCCTGGCAGCCACGGCCCCAGGGATCCCTGCAGGTTCCAGCAGCCAGAGCCTCTGATGGACAAGGGTGTCCTGCAAAGTTAAGAACAACTGGCTAATTACACGCAAGAAGCAGGACAAGCTGGGTTCTTTCAGGGAGTGACTTAGCCAGACTGCAAGTACATCAAAACAACTCTTCCACGCACTTGCCTATAATCTAGCCCTTTGTTTGCATCTGAATGAATCACAGATTTGTTCTGATCAGATCACATTCCTACACGGATTAATTCGCATCTAAGTCACACGAAAACATGTTATTCTTTCCTCAAGAGTTCTTCTGTCCTGATGAGGCAGTGGCTCAAAGGCCCAATCTTGCAAGCACACGCTAGCATTGGTCCCTACAACCCATATTACTCAGGGAGTTTTTGCCAGAGGCAAATCTAAATTTGTACCTACTGTTGTGATTTTTCCCTTCATTCACCTGCAGAAAGGTTGCTGCATCCACAGGAACGCTGGGAGAAAGAGACAAACTATTGTATTGAAAATTTTAAAGAAAAACAAAGGTTATTTTAAGCTTTTGATTGTATTGTAAGTTCATTAAATAAAGGTCAGTGGTCATTTTGTCCAGCAGGTCTGATCTTAGAACAAGACAATCATGAGAATTTATTGAATGAAGCAAGCTGGCAGCCACTGATACACATCAATTAACTGATACATAATTACTCTGTGTTTTCAGTTCAAGTCCTCCCTGTTCTGAACTACCCCAAAGGACATATAGGGATGTAGTTCTCTTACGTGTTGGTTCAGTAGATGCAGTAATGCAAATGTGATACCTCCTCAGGTTCAACAGTCTGTGCATGCTAGTCCTGTGCTGGAAAACTAGTGGGTTTAAATTGTTTGAAGGTACTTTCTTATTTGAAAGTCAACATGTTAGTAAATCTGATGTTTTGGAAAGGGTTGGGTGATGTTTTAGAATGAGGCAGAGGTATTTCAAAGTGAAAGTGTCTTCCTTCTTCACCACAGAAATCTAGATGTCATTTCAGGAGCAAAAAGGTAAGTCCATTAATACTTCTGTGCTGGGTGTTTCAACTAACTCCTTTACAGAGAATGATTCATAAATGAATGATTTGAAAAAGCACGATACTGTGGCTCAGTGAAGTCACATGTAGGTGCTTCGAAATATCCCAATGCAACAAAACTGCACAAAATAGCATCCACTGCCAAGAGGGATGAACGTGGAGTATCACAAAACTACAGGACTTTAATATGATTCTCACAATAATGTGTTTTGATCGTATTTCTTCTATGCAGATGCTAGACGAAAATCACCACCTAATACAGTGTATTATGGATTATCAGAGCAAGGGGAAAACTGCAGAATGTACTCAGTGAGTATTGTGAGTTTTGGAGTGTGTTAGAAATGTTTGATGTACTTTTTCCTCTAGAGCAGAACTATAAACAGTTATGATCATTGAGAGAATATTTAACTTCTTTTTTTATTATTATTATTCACTTTTATTAAGACATGTATATTGGTTTTGGAACAGAGATTAATTTTTTTTCCCAAAGTATTTTAGTATTTAAAATGTTTCTAACAGATCATTTATTACAATAATTGTAAAAAATTATTACTATTAGATCACTTGTTCTGTGAAGACTCATCAAATACAAGTAGAATAAGGGCACAAAGTTAACACATTTTCATCAGAAAGTAATTAAATGTTAAAAAAAAATAGCAATGTGATTATCTGTGGCTAAAACATTATGCATGTAGACATGCCTGTTTGTGTCACTACTTAATTCCTAATCTTGAAAGCAAAATGCTTTTATAAACCTTAGGGGTTAAATCCCA